CGGCCGTCGTGGGACATTGAATTGCGAGCAGCGAGCGCACACGATATCAGTTGTGACTCGGCCAAGCAGACTGCACTCAGCTGCATTCGCTGTATCCGTAGCCCTCTTGTACTCACGCGGCTGCCAAGCGGTGCTCGGACAGTGCTCCGGAAGACACCCTGCTCGCGATACCGTAGGCCGTGACTGGGGGCCGATGTACACCGCCGAGCTGAAGGCGCGCACCGAGGGCTGGGACGAGGACAAGCTGGCCGCGGAAGGCGCCGCGTCGGACGCGATCCAGCCCGTCAGGGAAAAGGCCGGCATCCCCAAGGTACCGCTCACCCACGCGCACTGGCCCTTGCACTTGTGGGGCTCCTGTCGTCTAGACGTGGAGTCGCGAGGGGCTTGCCTGGCCCTTGCCCCACCGTGTGTGTGGAGAAGTCTACCTCACCTTCCCTTCCCTGCCTCCCCAAGGGCCGCTGGTGGAACGGGCTCATCGTGCCCGTGCTCTTCCTGTCCACCATCCTCCCCTTCCTCGCCTACAGCGGCGCCGACGTCGTCGCGTGGGGCGGCATCGGCTGGGACAATGCGCGCGGCGCACCTCTAATCTGCTCACAGCCCCCCCCCCCCCCTTGCCCCCTAAGCCTCCAACCCTTTTAACCCCCTTCCCCCCCCCCTTTCCTGTACCCTTTACCCCCTACCCCCCCCAGACGAGCTCTCCCAGATCGAAGACGCCCTGGCACTGACGACGCCCCCATACACGGCGGCGACCGCAACAACCGTCTTCATCGAGTCGGTTCGCAGCGCGAGGGCTCTCCACAGCGCGCACACCCTCCTCCCCACACGTTCCGCCTCCGTCTCCGCCTCCTCGCTCGCCACCCTCGCCTCCCCCACACTCCTTCCCACACCCAGCCTCACCCGCACTCACCGCCGCCCCCCCCTCCACCGTCGCACGCCGCCGCCCTCACTGCCACCCTCGCCACCGCTGCGTCCCACCACCCGCGCTCGGTCTCGACGCCCCGGCGCGGGCCTCAGCCGTCATCGCCTGCACCAGCCCGCCGCCACCTTGTCGCAGCCGCCTCCCTTTCGATTCCGCCGCCGTCCTTGCCGCCGCCATGCGCTCCTCCGCCTCCAGTCCCCTCAGCGCCTCCTGGCGGGTTCCTTTGAGCCGCCAACCTCTCTGCCGCCGCCCTCCGTGGCACCACCTGCGCCCGCGGTCTCGGCCCCACAGGGCGCCTTGCGCCACTCACGGCGGTACACTAGTCATAGTCATTCGGCCGTCCGCGAGCCGCCAGATCGCTGACGGCGAGGGAGATGCCACGAGGGGTCGCGGTGGCGCGTCCCTCGCCAGGCTCCCACTAGCTCAACCGACGACCCTCGTGCGTCGACAATCGAGGACGGCCGGTCGTCATGCCACAGGTGCCGTACCGCTTCTACTCGTGGTTCATGCTCTTCTTCGTCATCACGATGGCCATCTCGGGCCGCGACTCGTAGACGCTGACACATGTACATGTCTCGGTGTTGCATTCCAACTCGCACTCAGGAGGACACGGATTTCTCTGGACTCTGCCGGGGCTAGAACACCCCCTCTCGCGGCCGTCGTGGGACATTGAATTGCGAGCAGCGAGCGCACACGATATCAGTTGTGACTCGGCCAAGCAGACTGCACTCAGCTGCATTCGCTGTATCCGTAGCCCTCTTGTACTCACGCGGCTGCCAAGCGGTGCTCGGACAGTGCTCCGGAAGACACCCTGCTCGCGATACCGTAGGCCGTGACTGGGGGCCGATGTACACCGCCGAGCTGAAGGCGCGCACCGAGGGCTGGGACGAGGACAAGCTGGCCGCGGAAGGCGCCGCGTCGGACGCGATCCAGCCCGTCAGGGAAAAGGCCGGCATCCCCAAGGTACCGCTCACCCACGCGCACTGGCCCTTGCACTTGTGGGGCTCCTGTCGTCTAGACGTGGAGTCGCGAGGGGCTTGCCTGGCCCTTGCCCCACCGTGTGTGTGGAGAAGTCTACCTCACCTTCCCTTCCCTGCCTCCCCAAGGGCCGCTGGTGGAACGGGCTCATCGTGCCCGTGCTCTTCCTGTCCACCATCCTCCCCTTCCTCGCCTACAGCGGCGCCGACGTCGTCGCGTGGGGCGGCATCGGCTGGGACAATGCGCGCGGCGCACCTCTAATCTGCTCACAGCCCCCCCCCCCCCCCGCGAAGAAGATGGTACACCAGGAGCCCAGAATCGGGCAACAGCGCCCCTAAATCTCTGTCCCCCCCGGCC